ATAGGCTGTGATGTCACCGCGCTACACTGTGAGGTCATGGCCTCAACCCACAGCATCACTGTGTGCCCTATGATGTCATCAGGGAACAACGTGAATTCCCATGATGCACCAGTGACTTGGCATATCACGCAAGGATGTCATCATCATACATCCGGGCACCATGATGACCACGTGCTTCACCACGACGCTGCGGCCTCGCCTGCTGGCGGAGGGGAACTGGCTCCTGCCATCACAGCTCCACGTTCACCTCCTCCCAAAACAGCCCACTCCCCTCCCAGAGCTGGGGAGAGAACCCAGGAGTCCTGGCTCCCACTCCCCCCTGCTCTAACCCACCAGCCCCCACTCTCCTCCCAGAGCCAGGAGAGAACCCAGGCGTCCTGGCTCCCAGCCCCCCCTGCTCTAACCCACCAGCCCCCACTCTCCTCCCCTCCCCTCCCCTCCCAGAGCCGGGGCGAGAACCCAGGAGTCCTGGCTCCCAGCCCCCCCGCTCTAACCCCCCAGCCCCCCTCCCCTCCCAGAGCCAGGAGAGAACCCAGGCGTCCTGGCTCCCAGCCCCCCCTGCTCTAACCCACCAGCCCCCTAGAAAAATGGGAGAGGGGAATAAAAAACACAGACACAAAATGTAACCCGTTTTTTACTGGGTGATTGGGAGGGTTCAGGGGGGGCAGCTCCAGAAAATGAGGTTAATAATTTAGGGGTCACTGGGGGGGTATTGGAGCTGGGACGCGGGGGGCGAGAGAGAAAAGACGGGGCACTGGTGGGGGGGCTTTCTCTCCCCTGCCCTGCCTCACGATCCGGGTTTCGGGGGAGGCCGGATGCTCCGATCCCTGCTAGGCCGAGGCTCCGTTGGGGTCTGGGTCCCCCTCGCGTTGCCCCCCGTTGTGGGGCCGGCGCCTGACGAAGGTGCCCTTGACCGACCCCTCCACCGCGGCTTTGAGCTGTGTGGGGGGGGCAGAGATAGCGCGTAAGGAACACCCCCGCCCCCAAATCTCTGAGCCCACCCGCCTCCAATTTGATCCGCGACCCCCACCTGCTGCCCCCGCCTCCTTCTTCAACTTTCCTGAACCCCAATGCTCCCCCTGTGACCCCCTACATCCTCCCTGACCCCAGATCCCCCAGGATCTCCCCACACGCCCTCTCTGACGCCACTGTGACCCCCATGTCTTCCCTGACCCCCCCCCGATTCCCGGCATGACCCCCCTGATCCCAGCATGACCCCACGAGCTCCCTGCCCCCCGACCCCTGTGACCCCTCTGATCTGCTTGATGACCTGTGCACCCCATCCCACGCCCCCCATCTCCCCCCCACCTTACCTCTCGGAGGCTCACCACCCCGACCAGCCGGCCCACATTGGTGACATAGGCCGTCCGCAGGCCCAGCAAGTTGAAAAGGTCGTAGCACTGTGGGGGGGTGGGGGGGGGGCAGAGAAACGGGGGGGGGGAGACCGCAAACCCAGGGGGGGCGGATATGGGGGGGGGGGGCTCCGGAACCAGGGTGGGGGCTCGGGGGCCGGGCCAGGGCCAGGGGGGCCCCCCGGGGGGGGGGGGGGGGGCAGGACATGGACCATAATGATATGCAAATGAGCCCCACCCCATTGCAGCCGCTAATTGAGGTGCAAAGGTCTTGTTCCCACATTGCATATGCAAATGTATGCAAACCCGGGCTGCAAATGAGCAGGCCGGTCTAATTGCATATTCAAATTCATCTGCAACTCCTCCCATGCTAATTCTATATGCAAATTACCCTACCAGCCCCTCTGCCCCTAATTGCACATGCAAATTGATGTGCCAACGCCTCGCACTCTAATTGCCCATGCAAATTCACCCAAACCCCGCCCACCTTAATTGCATATGCAAATCTCTATCAACATGTAGAAGGAATTACCCCCAAGCGAATGCAAATGAGCGGCTGGCAGATTTGCAGACGTCATTTTACCTAATTGCTCTGCCCCAAGTGTGCTGCTGATGCCAGCAATGGCCCTATTTGCATATGCAAATTCATGCCAATCAGAGGTCTGCTCAAGCCCGCCCAGCGGCCCTGAGGTGGCTGCAAAGCATGCTGGGAAGAAGCTCCCCTGCAGCTACCTCCCAGCAACCTTTGCGCCCGCCACCGGCAGGCAAAGCATGCTGGGAAGGCAGAGCGAAGGGCGAGCGAGCGATATGGGGGGACCCCCCCGCACCCCGAGGCACCCACCTGGTAGAGGGTCTCCTTCTCCAGCAGGCGGTAGGGGGCCGGGTCAATGGGCAGCTCCTCCAGCCGGACCGGCTCCTGCAGCTGCTGGCACTCCCAGTCCTCCACCTGCAGCCGGAGCAAAGCATCCTGGGAAAGATCCACCCGGCTTGGGTCCTCCCAGAGTCATCGGCGCCAGCCCCCACCAGGCAGCAGGCGCAAAGCATCCTGGGAAATATCCGCCCTGCTCTGGCCCCCTCCCCGGGGTCCCTCCCAGAATCCTAAGGGCCAGCCCCCGCCAAGCAGCTGGCGCAAAGCATCCTGGGAAATATCCACCCTGCTCTGCTCCCGCCCTCAGGGTTCCTCCCAGAGTCCTTTGCATCAGCTCATGCCAAGCAGCTGGCGCAAAGCATTCTGGGAACACCCCAACAAGGACATGGGATGGGAAGCTGCCTCCCAGTCTGACCCCCGATAGTCTGGAGGGGGGGCCACTCTTAACCCCAATAGCCTGGGGCTGCCGCCCCCCATATGGGGGAGATTGGAGACACCCCCCGGCCCCTTCAATCGCCCTGCAGACTGGGGGATGACTAGGGGGGTCATGGCCCCTCCACCCGGGTACCTGGCCCCGACATACCAAGTGACGCACGTCCTTCATCTTGACAGACAGCTGGGTGCCTCGCTCCTGGGGAAGGGTGGGGGCACAGATCAGCTCCCGCAGCATCACCATTGGGGGGTCCCCCAGCCCCCCCGCCACAATCCATGGACCTCCCCTTCCCTGACCCCCACTCCCAGCCACATGCCTCCACCAATGGGTCCCCCTGCTCCCCTCCAGCCCCCCATCAATGCATCCTCCCAGCCCCCACTGCACCCTCCCAAACGGGGGCCCCCCTCCCCGCCACCCCTGCCCCCAGCACCTCCTCCTTGGATGTCTCCCAGTCGCCCGGCTCAACAGAAACCTTCGGCGCTTCTGGGAAAGAGAGAGACACACGGGGTGGGGGCAAGTCAGATCGCGCCCCCCCCAAGCCTCTGACACTCCCCCGCCATCCCAGACCGTCCCCCCCAGACTCCATGTGCCCCCCGCCCCATAACGCCCCCGTCCTGCTCACCTGGTTTCTCCTCTGGGGTCCCCGGAGCTCCGTCTTCCCCCAGCAGCTGCAAGGGAAAGTCACCGAGTCAACCCCCCGGCCCCTCGCCTGGCACTGAGATGAGCCACCTCTGGGGGGGGGGGCGGCCGGTTACCCGGGGACCCCTCGCCCGGCGCTGAAATGCGCCCACCTCTGGGGCGGGGCGGCCGGTTACCCAGAGACCCCTTGCCCGGCGCTGAGATGCGCCCACCTCTAGGGTGGGGCGGCCGGTTACCCAGGGACCCCTCGCCCGGCGCTGAGATGCGCCCACCTCTGGGGCGGGGCGGCCGGTTACCCAGAGACTCCTCGCCCGGCGCTGAGATGCGCCCACCTCTAGGGTGGGGCGGCCGGTTACCCAGGGACCCCTCACCCGGCGCTGAGATGCGCCCACCTCTGGGGCGGGCGGCAGATGAGACTCGGGTTGGGTGGGGCTGTTCGCCTCGGACTGGCTGAGCAGATACTGGAATCGCTTCTCCGTGCTCAGCTGCTCAGACAGCAGCTTGGCCAGATGCTTCCTCCGGATGGAGCCCAGCAAGATCCTGGACTCTGCAAACAAGATGGGGGGTTAATGGGGCAGGGCCTGTCCCCTCTAGGGGGCGCCGGCTCCCACCCGGCCCCAGGGCGGGGACTGACTGGCTCAGGGGGGCCACACTGACCTTGGGAGTCCACCAGGGGGAACTGTTTGAGGCTGGAGGCCTTCAGCAGACCCCGCACGTCCTTGAACCTGCAGCCCCGGGGCAGGTATTTGAGGTCCGTGACCATGAAATCCTCCGCGTAGATGTCATGGGCCCTGGTGTGAGGTGGGGGGGAGGGTTAAAGCCGGAGAGAGAACCCAGGAGTCCTGGCTCCCAGCCCCCCAACTCTGACCCACCAGCCCCCACTCCCCTCCCAGAGCCGGGGAGAGAACCCAGGAGTCCTGGCTCCCAGCCCCCCCTGCTCTAACCCACCAGCCCCCACTCCCCTCCCAGAGCCGGGGAGAGAACCCAGGCGTACGGGCTCCCCCGCTCACCTGCTGAAGATGTTTCATCCCGTCGTCGTCCTCGGTGTCTCCGATGGAAAACTCAGTAGCAGCATTGGTGGTGGAGGAAGGGGAGGAGAGGGTGGAGACCGCGCCCGTGCTGAGCTGCGACGGGAGGCCCAGGATGCCTGGGTCCCCTGGGGAAGGAGGGAGGGGGTCACTACATGAATTTGTTACCCCTTTCCCCACCCCACCCCCGGGGCTCAGATCCCCCCTCCCCCATAATACCACCCCCGCCTTGGTAGCCTTCGTGACGGCTCTGGGAGCTGTCATTTCAGGCTCTTGGCAGACACAGGTAGCCGGGCAGATGTTAGTAGGTTTCAGAGTGAACACCCTTCATGAAGGCACCCAAGAAGCGATTGTTTCAGGCTCTCAGCAGACTCACGCAGCGCTCAGCTCCAGAGAAGCATTGCAGAGGGAACAATGCATTCTAGGATGGGGGAGACACAACCACCAGCCCACCCCCGCTGGTGGCTCAGGCCATGGGAAGGGGACCCCGCCCCCATCCCCCTGCCCGCTTGGTACCTTCCGCAGCAGGCTTCGGCTCCTTGTCGCAGGTGCCGAGGGGCACGGTGGGGTCTGAGCCCCCCAGGGGGGCGCTCTCACATTCACTAGTGGCAGTGGCAACAGTAGCAGCAAAGGGGGGGCCCGACAGCCAGGGGGCGCCGGGCAGGGAACATCGCTTCTCCTCCGGGGTCATCGAGGGATCCTTCCAGGCCTCTGGAGAGAGAGAGAGAACGGGTTACCATCTGGGGGGTTGCCCCAATCCCCCTGCCCCCCTACACACCCAGGTGCAGTGGGGTCCAAAAGCCCCCTGCCCGCCTTACCTTTCTCGGGGGCCTCCTTCGAGCCGGGCTCAGCGTCCTCCTTCCCTTCCAAACTCTCGTCGTCTTCCTGCAACGGATGGAAGTCGAACACGTGCTCCTCAGGGATTGGCTCCTTGGGGCTCTTCTGTCAGAGAGGAGGAGGGGCTTGGGGGTCAGAGGTCAAGCCAGGACCCCCAAGTACATGGGGGGGGAAGCATCCCACCGTTCTGCCCACTCCCCCGCCCAGCTGACAGCAGGAGCTACCCCGGGGACAGGACTGGGAGCCAGGACTCCTGGGTTCTCTCCCTGGTTCTGGGAAGTGGGTGGGGGGGCCGGGAACCAGGACTCCTGGGGTCTCTCTCGGGCCCTGGGAGGGTGGGGGGGCCGGGAGCCAGGACTCCTGGGGTCCCCCCCCGGCTGGGGGGGGGGGGGGGGGGCCGGGAGCTGGGTACCTTGAGGGGCATGAAGGCGCCAGAGGAGTCGAAGGTGCCCATCTCCTCGTCCTCGTCATCCATGCACCACTCGGGCAGCCCGTCCTTGTCATCCTCGAAGCTGTCGCTGCCCCGGTGCCGCCGCCCGCCCCGCTCCTCCTCCCGCTCCCGGAAGTCGAAGTCGAACTTGCGGCGCCGGCCCTCGGGGTGCTCCCGCCAGCCGGCCGAGCGGGGCGCGCCATCTGGGGGGGCACACGCTGAGTGGGGGGAGCCGGGCTGCCTCAAGGGGTGCTCCCGGCCCAACCCACAGACTCACAACGGGGGCAGAACCTGCCCATGACACGCCCCCAGCCTGCCCTCCTATGGTCCCGCCTACCACCCCACCATGGGGAGGGTCCCCCGACAGGCCCCGCATCCAGCCTGTCCTATGGCCCCACCTACCACCCCATCATGAAGAGAGACCCCCATAGGCCCCTCCCGCAGCCTGTCCTATGGCCCCTTCTACCACCCCATCATGGGGAGGGTCCCACGACAGGCCCCACCCCCAGCCTGTCCTATGGCCCCACCTACCACCCCGTCATGAGGAGGGTCCTCCGACAGGCCCTGCCCCCAGCCTGTCCTATGGCCCCACCTACCACCCCATTATGGGGAGGTCCCCCACAGGCCCTGCCCACAATCCCCAGTGTCCCCCACACACATTTTGCCCATGGGGGGCCTCACCTGGGCTGGCCGACCGCCAGCGCTCACTCTCGCGCCGGGCCCCACTCAGCCGCCAGCTGCCCCCCGCGGCCGCCCCGGCGGCGGTGGGGACGGCGCCCCCGCCCCCCTCCTCCTCCTCCTCCTGCTCCTCCCGCAGCGTCCGCCAGTTGTTGCTGTCTGAGCGGGCGTAGTCCTTGCGGGGGACTGGAGCTCCCTCCTCGAAGGGAGCCCGGGCTGCGGGGGAGAGGCAATCAGTGGGGGGCCGGATCACGTGTCCGCTCCCCCCCCCATCCAACCAGCAGGGGGTCAGCCCCGCCTACAGGGCAGCTGCTAAGGGAAGGGGAAGCCCCTCCGCCCACCAGCAGAGCCCCCTCTTCCTCAAGGTGTCGGTGTTCTTGGGCATGACTGTGGGGACCCCCTCCTCCTCCAGTCCTAGGGTCCCCCAGGGTGTCCCCCTTACAGCCCCCCCCCCCCAAATCTCTCCCCACAGGCAACCAGGAGCCACCTACTTCCGTCCCGCCGGGTCGGCTTCTCGAACCGCCGCTCGCCCCTGCCGGAGAGAGAAGGGGAGAGGTCAGAGCCTGGCCCCCAAGTCCCCACGGGTCCCCCCCAGCCCACGCCCCCCACACTCACCGGTCGTCCCAGCTCTGGCTGCGATGGATCTCCCGGGCCCCGCGCCCGAACGCCCCTTCTGGCTCCTCCGGACTTCTTTGGTAAAACCCGCTCTCGCCTCGGCCCCGGCCTAGGGGAAATGAGCGCTGAGACCCTGGCCTGAAAATGGGGGGCTTCTCTGCCCCCCGCCCACGATCCCCCTGCCAGTGGGGGGGGGGTGGAAGAGCCAGGAACAGCCCCCCCGCCCCCATTCACCCACCTGTGCCCCTCCCCCACCAGTCCCCATTCACGGGCCCCCCCTCATCGGTTCCTATTATCCCCGCGTCCCCATCCCCCACCAGATCTTGGGCTCCAGACCCCCAAATCTCCTCCTAGATACCTCGGCTCCGGGTACTGCCCCTCCCCCGGGAGACTCCAGCGGGAGCGGCTCCACCTCCTTTTCCCATCAGCCTCAGCACCGCCACGCTGTTCACAGACATGGAGAAATTCCTCTGGAACAGAGCCGGGGGGCGGGTTAGCACACAGCCATCACTAGATCCTGCCCCAGATCGGGGCTGGTACCCCCATGCCCCGACCCCCTGAGCCAGCCAGTCCCTGCCCTGGGGCTGGGTGGGAGCCGGCGCCCCCT